ACATTCAAGGTGGGGGCTCATTACTGAGCATGACTGACAGTATCGGAAAGTGCTCCGCCTCGTTTGGCGTTCCTCCCTGGAAAAGGTTCACTGTTGGTTCGCTATTGGTTCTCCAAAGAGCCAATGCTGGCTCTCCTCAGAGCCACGAGGGAATGGAGAGGTAATGGCCCCACCCACCAGAGCAAGTGGTGATGCCCCTAAAGTTTGTTTTGTTGATTTGCTTCTTCCTCTTCTTCAAAGGCACCTCTGCCTCCTCCTCCAGCCAAAGCAATTGTGGACCTTCGGCGCGTGTCAGTAGAAATGGCTACATGTGTCACTACTGACACGCATGTCATAGGTTCGCCATCACGGGTCTAAACGCACAAATTGAAAACATGCTCAGGACTTTTGGGGGAAAGGAGAAGGATACCGTAGCACCATTGATGCACCCCTTGGATGGAGGCTGCTTGGATGGCTGTGGCTGGAGGGAGGTGGACTGGCTGGTTTATCAGCCTATAACTGCATGACTGCAAAAGTTAGTGACTTCATGAGATAAAGTTCCTGTACTTCTGTTACCAGCAGAATTGATCTCCTCTCATTGCTGTTTTTTGATAAAATAGGTTTGGGCAATAGTGCCATTATTATGACTAGTATGTACAAATAATATGTATCAGTTACTGATTCATAATTCCAGGTTACACATCCATAAGTGTGATACTGAATTCTGGTCATGAACTTATGAAATTAAGAAACCATCATGATATGAGTGAGAGAAAATGAAAGCATCACCAACCAACATTAACACACTTTTGTTATTCAGTGCAATCTGTCATCAGTAAGTATGATTTCCCTCTGCTCTTTTCTTTTTGCAAGTGAGCTTTAATAAATACTGACAAGGATTACATAGAGTTAAGTTTTCCTAGCAGCATGATTCAGTTCATACAATGAATGGATAACAACTTAATAAATATGCTGTAATTATTGCAGAACAGTCTGAATTTGAAATAGAGCCTATCTCCAGTAAAAGCACAAATTAGAACTTCTGATTTGTACTCCAGATGTCTACCTTTTCAGTGTTATTATAAATTCACCACTTATATTACTCACCCATTTCCAACAGAACAGTGTTGTATGCCATTCTACATTAGAAATATGAGACACAGCTGAATGAAAAGCCTGAAGAAGAAGAGGCTCTGACTGAGAACTTGGGGTGCTCCAAACCTAGGGACATTTCATAGAATCATAGAGTTGGAAGAAACCACAAGGGCCATCAAGTCCAATTCTCTACCATGCAGTAACACACAATCAAAGCACTCTTGGCAGATGGTCATCCAGGACCTGCCTCAAAACTTCTAGGGCAGGAGACTCCACAGTGCTCCAAGACAGCATATTCTATGACCAAACTGCTCGAACCATCAGGAAGTTCTTCCTAATGTTTAGGTGTGATCTCTTTACCTGCAAATTTAATCCATTACTTTGTGTCCTAGTTTCTTGTATAGAAAATTCAAGGAGATAGCTTTTGTGGTTTTTGTTAAAAATGTTGTTCATAAAAACTTTTAAGAATTCTTGAAAGTCAGTGGATGAATGAAATGTTGTGAAACTTGGGAGGGGGGGTGTTACAGTGGTGATTGTAGTAAATTTCATGCCAATAGATCTAACAATGAGGGAGAAAGTTTCCCCATTGGTCCATCTGAACATGAGGAAGAACTTCCTGTGAGAGCCATTAAGCAGTGGAACTCTCTGCCCCGGAGTGTGGTGGAGGCTCCTTCTTTGGAAGCTTTTAAGCAGAGGCTGGATGGCCATTTGTCAGGGGTGATTTATTTATTTATTTATTTATTTGCTATACTTGTATACCGCTGTTTCTCAGCCTAGACGGCGACTCAACGCGGTTTACAACAGAATATAACAATCGACAGTATACAATTTAAAAGCATAAAAACTTAATACACAATACATATATCAACAACAAGCCAATTCATCTCCTGACTAAAATCGTGATCCAGTTTCGTCGTCCATATTGCCAGTCCTTTAATCATTACATT